GTGGCTGTACATGGCCTGCTAAAAAATGGTTCACGGAACTGAGCCCATGATGGGTGTACTAGATCATGAGAGTAGGAGAGTTAAAACGAAAGCTTCTTGCGAATTCGCTTGTGGATGCTGGTTTGAAAAGCTGTATCATCCGCATCATGGCTGTGGTAAGTGGCCAGTTTCGAAGGTCATGGACAGGGGGGCTCCAAGGGCAGCTATCAGTTGCATCGTCGGGAATAATCTGCTTGCTTGTACTGCAGCCACAAAGCTTCACTATACACCGTAGAAGCACACTAGCGACATTCCTTGCAGCACCAACAACAAAGTTAATGCTATTCGCATATGAGACCGGATACTGCTGATCTCCAAATACACAATTGGTAGGATATGAGGATGGTAAAACGTCTTCTACACATGTTGACTATGACCAAGGGGGGAGGTTGTTTATTCAAGCAAAACGAGGACGCATATTCACCCAATGACGCCTTCGATAAATCTACCTCAACCGTTATTTTACTGTCGGTCGGTTTGGCCGGGTCAGTCGATAACTTTAACGAATTTAGATCCTGGCCAGCGTAGGTTTTAAGCGGAATAATGCAGTTCGAGGTTTAAGATACTGGCTTTGTTTGCATCTGGGATCCAATGGTTAATGCAGTTGGTATTTTCCAGACCACACAACAGCCACTTCGCATACAAGAAACGGCATTAGAAAAGTCTGTATGATTGATAGACCTAGTTTTCCGAGAGGAAGCCATATCAGCATCACTAGCTTTGTGGGTTGTAGTCATCTTTGCTTGGTCAGCTTACCATATTTAGTCGTGAAAGTGCTGCCTGGTGTAGGTCTTTCAGTAACCAATTTTGCATCTGTCGTTGATTACCTCCAAAGTGCCGGAATCGGGCGTTCGCCTAGACACAGCAGCTAAGAGACTGGCCGTATGTCCGTATGTTCCTGCGATCCATTGAGAGTTTCAGAAGTCTTTTTACTATTCATCACATCATTCTTATGTGCAGCAACCGGACTATTTATCACAGACTTATTGTAACCACTAATCGGAACGCTAGCAACTGGATGCGGGGAGTCAGATGGCTGTTTGGTATTTGTGTTGGACTCTGCCTTCCGCCTTCAAAATCTTCAACAATGTTCAAGCGTTTGAAAGTTGTACTAAGTAGAATAAGCTCGCGCTTTTAAATTAGCTGTTTAGCTAGTGTTACATTTTCACTCTGGAAAGGTGTGGGACAGTCATAACGTGGTACACTTTTATGTAGTTTGATGCGACTGGACCAATACTATTGCATGCCGCTTACAGGGAGAAACACTTTCTGAACAGTTTTCTACGATATCTTGTTCGACGCCTTAAAAACCACAGCATTACATGAACAGCGTACTCGATATTTTACCTAGTTAAAAATTGAGCCTATTAGTATAATGCCTTGCGTGATATGCATTTTACCGGTCAAAAATGTCACGTACGGTCGATCCGAATCGATCTTTACGTAGGCCATGTCTCACTAGTTTGCTGTACACCATTGAGTTTACATTCAGTTGACTCGGATCTATGCTCTGCAACGTGCATAGTTATTTTGCGCAGTATTCCTATCCTTTTAGAGTCAGATTCAGGTCTGTGTTTGTGATGGATGTTGTTGCTGAAACTCATCACTGCACTACTCCAGTTTCAAGTAATTTGTGGACCTTTTACGCTGTTCCGAATGGTCTATCTTGAGACGAGCAACTGCAACAAAAATACTCTAACGCACTTTAAAACAGCGACCTCGCATTTACTCCTACGCTGCTTCTCGCACAGCATTCAATTAGAATTAATCGATTTCCCAAAGTCATTCACCAATAGTTATGACTTTGTGAATCAGTGCGTCGGCGTAATCCATCACACCGAGCAGCTAAGCCACTTCGTCCGCTAGTCTGGCCGCTTATAACTTTTGTAAACACATCACTCGTCTGGATGGGGTACGCAACCGCCCAGTCGGAAAAGCACGAAACATCAACTAGCACACCGTGCAAAGTACCGACACTACGCCGAGTAACAGCAAGCAAGTAGCGAGGAATCCAAAAGGGCCCCAATTGCAGGGCAAAAAAGGGGCTGCAGAATGTTACCGATTAGTGATATATGGTTTACTCTGCTCACCCTGTTTCGATTTGTACCATCTAAAGTGTGCGCAGTTTTCCCAACAACAATTAAAATATCGAAACAGCTCCCAAAACGATATCTGGTTTTGTACTGCGTGTTCGAACACCCCATTAGTCAAATAGGTATTTCTGCTAATCCTTAAGTGCGAGTGGTTAGCAGAAGAAGTTGAACAAGGTCTCGACGCTAAGATTACATAAGTGGAAGCGAGTATGCACCACGACAACACAGTATCCTCTAAGAACAGCAATGGTGTGCAATTCCTTTTGCCTGAACCACGATCGACGAGGTCATCATCGCCATTATCTTCTTCAATTGTGGAAGAACCCCAAGCGAAAACAGATTGCAGCTCTGGTAGTCAAACGGTACTCAGGACCACCAAAATCACGCACCACACGGACCGTGTGATCGATCAAATTCAGCCGGTCTTAATAAATTGTATGCTTAAGTACGGTGGAACAGCCGAACCTGAGTCTACGGCATTCACAACTAAAGACTCTCTGTTTGATCTCAAATCCCCTGGACTGCATTCACATATGCAGATAGCTGCAAAGGTCCTTCCGGTAGTTAGATTTAGTGTCTTCTGGTGCAAACACCGCCGACGCGAACAGAGAGACGAATAATGGTCCATCATCACTTTGCATAAAGCCAGGCCCAACGATCACCCGACCTAGTAACTCAGCAAAATGCGTTCCAACAATAACTCCCTGACTTTGTGCTTAAAAATTTCCCCGAATCTACCGCCATCACCTTGCGTGGTAAGCTACCTGACGACCATGCCCAGTGGAACACACTGTGCAGTTTGTGGAAGGTAAAAGGCAAAACCACGAACCTAGTGGAAGTTATTCGTCACCCGAACTCTGCACACTAGGTCGAACCCGGAATTATGAGAGTAACACTAAAATTCGCCAATGATATAGAAAACCTTATGCTGCCTTCAAGCGCACTGCAACACGGGTCGTGTAGGGTACCCGACTACCCTGAGGGCCCTTGGCGCACGCGACAAGCGAAAAGAAATATAGCCGTAGGACACGACAAGCTGGATTGTCTAGGCACAAGCTTGATTTGTGGCGCGCCAGAGCTTCCTTTCCACTTGAATCATGAGGCCGGTAATCAAGCTCTGTAGCAGTGGTAGCTCATTCAACAAACAATTTCTTTGAACAAGGTTGTAGCGCGGTCGCTCAAATAGCTACTTATCTCACAAAATTATAGACGATGCGGCCCAAAATCCCTAGAATTCCTGGTTACATCTGAGCAGACAGAAACGGAAGTGTTCGAACGTTGGTGGCGACATCGGTAGAGATCCTTCCATCTAAGATCTGGCTTAAAGCTCATGAAACCTTGCAAAGACCAGACATGAGCATACCTGCAAAACAAATCTGCCAGAGATTACACAATAGCTTCATTTTACCGCTCATTCACGCGATGGTGTAGTAGGTCCGGACGAGGAATGAGACGTAGTTTGGTCAAACCAATTTGTAAACGACGCGCCATCATCCTCCCATCAAACAAAACGAATAACGGCCGGCCTTGCATCTGTCGGCATCTGAACACAGCTGATTCCTTTAGCTCCCTGTGCTTAAAGATGACGCATTGGGTAAAGCACAGCGTTGTCTAACTGAGGACAATAGCCTGGAGCAGCAAGCGAAACTCACGGTAGGCAAGATAATCGATGGAATTTAAGTATGCTTTAATATGTCATGTTTCACGTTCCAGTCGAGACTGTACTCTCAGGAACAGGGACTTGTCAGGGGGTCACCAATACCCCCGTGTTAGCAAGAGGAGAGCGCTGACAAACGCCAGTAGTTTGCCAAAGATTTAGTTGTGCTGCGTGGATGATACATTTGTGATTACCAAGCGGGATATGAAGGATGAGTTTCTAAACCAACTGAACTCCATTAATCGAAACATAAACTTTACTGTGGAATTGGAATCTTGCAGTAGCACATTGTCATTCCTCGATTGCCTAGTTCATAGGAAAGGTGAACATTTAAAGACGACGATATATCGCAAAGCCACAGATATGGGTTTAGTACTCCATTACAGTTCAGACCATTCAAAGCGAGTCTATGCTGCTACCATATGCTGCCTATTTCACCGGGCCCAGATTGTGCACAGAGGAATATGAGAGAAAGGCCTCTCGTAAGGAAGCAGTAAGCAAATTAAGCGACGGAGGATATCCGTGGCGGTGAGTGCAAAGCCACTTGCTGTGAGATCCAAGTTCACCTACGTGACTCGCGACCGAATGTATTAGGACGGTAGGAATCGCTACTACAAAGGAAATCTCTAAAGCAATCGGTCGAATACTAAACAGTAAGAAAATAAGAGTGATTTTTTAAATGAATCACACACTCCGTCCAGTACCGGTGCAGTGGGAGGATCCAATTCCAAGAAACAGGATGGCGGATTGCGTGTACACAATCAGTTGCAAACACTTTGAACACGTGGGCATAGGTCAAACAGTGACAGAGCTACTCAGGGGAATGCAGAACATAAGAGGTAGACGTCCCGCGTCCACCGAGAAATGAGCCTGAATACAGGGGCCCTGCTAAAAGAGATTCAGCGGTGGCCGTACATGAGCATAGATGGAGGACACGCGACTGATGGGGACAAGGTCGAGAATACTTAAAAGGGGGGATTAGCAGTAACAAGCCCAAGGTTTAATTGCTGGGCAATTGGAGATTACTAAACTAATAACTGTGGGAACAGGACAGACGGGGTGGAGTTATCGAACGCGTGGCGGGCTGTTAGCCCGGGCAGTCAGAAAAGGTGTTCGGGCGGAACGAAACTCAGATCGGAAGCGTTCAATTCAGCAGCTGCTAGAAAGGAATGCCTCAATTGGACTTTTTAACACTTATTATCCAAAGCTTCATGTATATTTGTTGCAATCTTTGGGGGGGGGAGGGGGGGGGGGGGGGGGGGGGGGGGGGGGGGGGGGGGGGGGGGGGGGGGGGGGGGGGGGGGGGGGGGGGGGGGGGGGGGGGGGAGGGGGGGGGGGGGTGGTGGGGGGGTGGGGGGGGTGGGGGGGGGGGGGGGGGGGGGGGGGGGGGGGGGGGGGGGGGTGGGGGGGGGGGGGGGGGGGGGGGGGGGGGGGGGGGGGGGGGGGGGGGGGGGGGGGGGGGTGGGGGGGGAGAGGGGGGGGGGGGGGGGGGGGGGGGGGGGGGGGGGGGGGGGGGGGGGGGTGGGGGGGGGGTGGGGGGGGGGGGGGGGGGGGGGGGGGGGGGGGATTAAATTAATTATGCCTGAAGAAGATTTTGCTTAAAAGCGAAAGCGTTATGTTCGATATACCACACCAACGTGAAGAAACGGCAAGTAATGTCAACCCCCGTCTACTTCAACAGCATTTCCCCCTTCCACCAGACACTTGCACCTGCCGGTGCCATTTCTACCCTTACCTGTACCTTACCTACAGGTATGAAGACCCATTACATGGCCCTGCAGTAGTTATGCTGTGTGTGGGACTTATATATTGCACCATCGGAGCCCAGATTGATCAATGTTTTGGATACCAGACAATTCTCGTCTCCTTTACGCCATACAGGTTTGGGGTTGGAGTAAGAAAATGTTCCTTAACCGGCGCATAAAAAGGGCTCGTGAACCACATAACCAAAACCACGCTGTCCTTGGTCGGGACATGTTTGAAGAAACCAAAAGTTTTGGTAATGAAGACCCAAATCGTAGTTTCACGAATTTTCAGCTAATTGTTCACAAACAGGTTGCACAAACGTAAGGCAAAAAATCTAACGTGTTTCCAACAAGTAAGGTGTCACCAATTAATGTGGAGGAGAGTTACCTAATAATTTCGAGTGCGGAGATTAAAGACAATCTTACGCACCAACTCAAAATAGAGGCAAAAAGCAAGCACAGTTGCTTTATAGTTCCTCTTTCAGTCCATGTTATTCCGATGTCGACTGGCGATTCAAAGATATACATCCGACCAATGGAAAGACATGGCAGCAGCACAAACGGAGGCAGCAACAAACGAAACCAGCACGACGCGAGCGCGTAAACATTGATGTATACAAAAATTTGTGGATTTAAACAAAGGGTACAAAATGGTCGGTAACGGAAATAATAACAACAAAATTAAAAAATAGTGTAGGCACAATCACTACAGGTAGACGGTGGTAGATGGTAACATTTTTTACATGATCTGCTATTTCTCAGTTTGTTATTGCCGCATTTAATCTAAATTTGCCTACGGCACGGATGGACTATCAAGCTACACAGTGAACCTCTAACATTTTCTTCGTGTGGGGTGTAGAAATGTGTGGAAACGTTTGTGTAGAGTGATCTTGATAAATAAAATGGCTATGAAATGAAATATAAGAATGAAAAATTTTACTCACTAAACTTTAAAATTTGCAAATTCTGTCTGCCCCTCCACCTATTACAAATTCCGCCTTGCTAGTAGCCTGGAAACGACCGGCATTCGCAGTCGCACGTTCGGTGTAGAAAACAAGCGGTGTGTGTCCGACAATATCCCGAGTTTTGACATTGCGTGGCAACCTGCCCCCTCTAAACTTCAAACCTAATAATGGCTACGTGAAAAATTTTTTAATCTGGGTGCTAGCATCATGGATGTTGAAGGTGAGATATCGGAATTGCTTTCGTCTGTTAGCCCTACTGTTATGGAGGAACCGGTAAAGGAGAATACCAAGTCAGTCAGGTTTACCTCACATATAAAGTATCCTGATGCACCTTAGCGTCGGACGGCCGTAAATCTCGAGGTATGCCGAAATGTACGTGTCTGTAGAGTCCGATCGTGAACCAAGCAGGCAGCGATGCGCACAATCACAACAATCCAGCGGCAACCAAGGAAGAACTACCGAAGACGAGCTTGTAACCAAGTGTGTGTATATACAGTCAATTAAAACAAAGCTGTACAACAACTGCAGCGAAATAGGTAAACGTGAAAACGCAAAATAAGCAAATTATTTACAATCGCTACAGTACTCCCCCCCTAGAGCGTGCACTAAGAAAACGCTCGACAAGTGCCTACGGAACGTATTGAGCAAGCTTATGTGGAAAAGAAACAACACGACCAGAACGTGTGTGTTTGGAGCTGCGTGTAGTCGTAGGGCACGGAGGACTCAATGTACTGGCGTCAGTGTGTCGTTGGGTAGGGAGTAAAGGGACAACAATATCTACGTGCACGTGTCTAAAACGAGCGTCAGGGAGTGAAAATGTACCTGGGATGGTGACTGTGTGACGATGCACTTTACTAGTTTGGCAACTAAGGCAATGTTTAGCCCACTGTCTAATGTCTGAACGCATATTGGGCCAGAGGAAGCGGTCGGTAATGAGTTTTAAGGTGGAGCGGATACTTGGGTGTGAAAAACCGTGAAAATGATCAAAAATGGTTCGGCGAAATGATTGTGGGACAAAGGGTCTAGGCTTACCGGTTGAAAGATCACAGTAAACTCTTATGTCAGAGTTAAGTACGGGCAGTTGGGTGACTTTCAATGAGGAGTTTGAACGAAGTTGAACGAGCTCAGGATCATCGTTTTGGGCGGCCGCTATTCTCTCCAAGTCGATGGGTGTCGATGACAGTTGATTCATATGAGCGCGGGACTATGCATCGGCAACAACGTTGTTAGGACCGTCGATATAACGAACATCAACACAAAACTGTGAAAGATAGTCCAGATGACGCGTTTCTCGGGGTGAGTAACGGTCTGAGGAAGAACGGAAGGCATACACCAGTGGCTTGTGATCTGTCAAGAGAATGAAACGACGTCCTTCTAAAAGGTGACGGAAATGTTTCACAGCCAAGTACATGGCGAGCAGTTCACGACCAAAGGTGCTGTACCTGACCTGAGCAGGTTGAAGCTTCCGTGAGAAAAAAGACAGTGGTTGAAATTCGTTATCAACTAACTGTTGCAAAACTGCACCGACAGCAGAACTTGAAGCATCCGTCTTAAGGACAAGTGTAGCGTCCTCAGTGGTGTTCAAGTGATGGAGAGAGGTGACCTCACTGAACTTCTGCTTAACGGCCGTGAAAGCGGCTTCAACTTCTGGGGTTATCGTAAACGTCTTTGAGTTTCCTTTCAGTAAGTCGGTAAGCGGGTGAAGTAAATCAGCACAGTTGGGAATGAATCTGCCGTAGTAGTTGATCATACCGAGGAATCGGCGTAGGCTTCGGACAGATTGTGGCATCGGGTAGTCGAGGATTGCTTGAGATTTATCCGGGAGGGGTTTAATACCTTCACCATCGACCTTGTGACCGAGAAATTCGACGGTTGGCTGACCAAATTTGCATTTATCCGGGTTGATGTTTATCCCGTGGTTTTCAAAGCGTTCGAAAACCATTCGGAGGTGTGATAAATGCTCGTCCGGTGTGGCGCTTGCGATCAAGACATCGTCAATGTAAACGTAGACGAAATCAAGGCCACGGAGGACCTGATCCATAAAGCGTTGGAAAGACTGTGCTGCGTTCCGGAGGCCGAAAGGCATACGAAGAAATTCGTAAAGGCCGAATGGAGTGATCACGGCAGTTTTTGCGATGTCTTCCTCCGCCATTGGAATTTGATGGTAAGCTCTGACAAGATCGAGTTTGGTAAAGATTGACTTTCCAGCTAGTCCAAGCGAGAAATCGTGGATATGTGGGATAGGATACCTATCCGGAACAGTGACGTTGTTAAGAGCACGGTAGTCACCGCATGGTCGCCAATCGCCTGACTTTTTAGACACCAGATGGAGAGGTGATGCCCAGCAGCTGTTTGAAGGACGAATAACGCCGAGATCAAGCATGTGTTAGAATTCCTTTTTAGCTGCCTGGAGTTTGTCAGGACGCAAGCGTCGAGCTTTAGCAGTTACAGGCGGACCGATTGTAACGATGTGATGGAGTACATCGTGTTTAGGGTCGGAAGTATCGTTACTCGCTCGAATTAGGGACGGGAATTGTCGGAGCAATGAAGAATACTGTGAGTCTTCAGGGATGAGGATGCGAAACCTGAGAGAATTGACTGAGGCAAGTTTACAGGGTGTGCTTAAAGACGTAGTATCGTCTCGCAATTTCCCACAACGTAGGTCGACCACAAGACCGAACTTGCTGAGGAAGTCGATTCCGATGATGGGCTTTTACACATCGGCGATGGGAAAAAGGAAAGGGAAGTTACGCCGTAATCCGAGACTCAAAGAAAGTAATTTCTGGCCGTAGGTCGCGATTTTAGTCTGATTACCTGCCGTAAGCATTGGACCCGCTGGTTGCAGGGGGCGTTTTTCCAGAGAACGGTGGAGAACGCTGACTTCTGCACCAGTATCAACCAAGAAGTAAAGTTTGGTTGTGGAGTCAAATACATACAACAGGCAAGTAATAACCTGGCCAGCGACAGCCGCCGCCATTACTGGCTGGCCATGTGGTTTCCCGACGTAGGAGTTGAGAAGGCTTTGGGGTGTTTACACCCTGGACGGCACTTACGCGCTGCGTCTCCGAAGCGGTGGTGATAATAACAATAACGGTGAGACTTCCGTGTACGAGAGCTGCTAGACCGTCTGGATCGAGTAACGGATCGTCGCGAAGGAACGCGGTCGCGTCTGAGATGGGACAAGGTGAGCTCTAAGTTAGAAAGCCTCTCGCTGATTGTCTCAAGTGGCGTGGTTCTGGAGGGGCTGCCGGAGCTAGTCTCTGTGACGTGTGATATCGACGTTCTAATGAAGCGTTCGTGAACCATATCGGCAGCATCTGCCAGTTTGTCTAGCGGAAGATCGTCGGCAAGCACAGCTAAAATAGCCGTGGTATTCGCAGGAAGGCAATTACTCCACAACTGGCGGAGAACGGAATCATCCAGTGCGGAAGAACCGACGAGGGAACGCATGTGTCGGAGTAACTGAGATGGCGTTCTATCTCCAAGTTCAACACCAGAGAGTAACCGCTGAAGGCGTGTCTCGTCTGAGGCTGCAGTGCGCTTTAATATAGCTGCCTTAAGTCTATCATAGGGGGACTCTAGGGGCATAGGGTCAAGAATGTCGATGACCTCGGAGGCGATGTTGGACGGTAGATGAGCAGTCACATTTGAAAACATTGTGGATTGGGATGTAATCTTACGAAAACGGAAAACAGCTCCCACTTGAACAAACCAAACACGTGGGTTAGAAACGTCAAATGAAGGCAAAACGAGTCCAAGTGAATGTTCCGACGCATTAATGGCAGGCGCGTGATCAGACATTGCAAGTTAAAAAAAATATATTCAAAATGTTGAATAAAAATTCGGGGTCACCAATTATAT